GCCAACCTAGCAGCTCGAAAGCATGCAAATGCGAGTAGATAAATAGGGACCATCTTGGTGGGAAGGTAACAGTGTTCCGTGTCTAAGTCGCACTGGCCATGTGACCACGGAAGATTGTCTTCTGACAAACGCTGGCTCTATGGCTTGGAAACAGAGATGAGCACCGCCCCCTAGAGTTGCACACGACTGGACAAAAATTGTCAAGGGGAACCTTTACCTTTACCTTACTAGCTTTAGAAGCTGAGGCTCCAATATTTTGGCCATCTCATGAGAAGAGAAGACTCCCTGGAAAAGACCCTGATGTTGGGAAAGTGTGAAGGCAAGAGGAGAAGGGGATGGCAGAGGACATGATGGTTGGACAGTGTCATCGAAGCAACCAAGATGAATTTGACCCAACTCTGGGAGGCAGTGGAAGACAGGCAGTGGAAGACAGGAGGGCCTGGGGTGCTCTGGTCCATGGGGTCACGAAGAGTCGGACACGACTTAACGACTAAACAACAACAACTGGCTTTAGAATCAGACTAGTTTAACCAGCTTGGATACTTTGTATTTTGAAACACATATCCCAGAATCCTTCAAACAGAATAGAACAACGGAACAGGATTTTTCTTGGACTTCTGGTTTTAACAGCTGAACATTTCGAACAAAATAGCTACACAATGCAGCTGTTAGCTGCAAATTTGACGATGGATGCATCGTGCTTGTGTTCTTCCTCTCACACAAACAGAATCTCCCCTCTCCTTCTCATTCTTTGGTCCTATCTCCATTTTTGTATTGCTTATTAGAGTGCTTTTCTGTTCAGCTTCCCACTTTTAGGTCCTTTCTGAAAGCTGTGTTCCTCTTGAGGTTCCCAGTGACTATAAGGAGAGGACGACCTGTCAGCTTTGCTTTATCATTGCCACACACTCATAGTGAGTTTCGACAGCGGGACAGGGATTTGAACCCACAGTAACCCACAGTAACCAGCAGCAGTAACCCACAGAAAGAAACTTGAAAAGTATAGATTTCCTGCATGATCAGAGAGAAACGAAGAGAAGGTAGGAAAGCCGGTGTTTTGCTCCATAATGCACAGGAGAGGGCAGCAAACAGCCACAGATGGAAAAGTTGCAACTTTGCCAACAACGCAGTTTGAACATCAAAGCAAGGCTTGTGTGGTGAAGTTGGAGAGAATGATAGACACGGAGAGACAGAAGAAGTATCAAAGAAAAATTCAGAAGCCTGCAGAGAAGCCCATAAAAACAGAAGTTTTGCATATATAGCCCACAGCTGTCCAACATGATAAATCATACTACAGGTTGTAGGGCTGGAAACCTGCTTTGTACTGGATGCATGACTGTTCTGTTGTCAGCTGTATGAAATAGGATTTTAATCCCTAGCCCCCCTCCCTGGAAGCTAGTGTATGATTGATGACCATGCTGGGTTAGCATTTGGAGGTGAAACCAGACCATTTTAGATCAAACACCATAAACAGAGCGTTCTCCTTACCTTGGCCTGTTTTCATACATATGACTTTGGTTTCATAGTGTGTAGGAAAATCAGGATTTTAAAAAAAGGGATGTGAAAAACATTCACGTAGGAGCCAGCTCTGGGATACATAGAATCATAGAATAGGTTAGGTTAGGTATCCTTCAGTCTCGAAAGACTATGGTAACGTGCTCTGTATGGAGGATTTGGAACAGCGTCTAGTGTGGCTGAGGAGGCCAATTCGAGAGCGACAATCTCTTCCACACTGAAGACAAATCCAATCTGTCCCCTGTCCAGCTCCCTGATTTTGCTGCTTTTGAGACTTCTTCTTTGCCTCGGCCTGCTGGACAAGGGTCTCTTCAAATTGGGAGAGGCCATGATGCAATGTCTGTCTCCAGGCTGAATGCTCAGATGTCAGGGTCTCCCATCCGTTGAGGTCTATTCCTAAGGCCTTCAGATCCTGCTTGCAGATATCCTTGTATTGCAGCTGTGGTCTCCCTCTGGGGCGATTTCCCTGCACTAATTCTCCATACAGGAGATCCTTTGGAATCCGACCATCAGCCATTCTCACGACGTGCCCAAGCCAACGTAGATGTCGCTGTTTCAGTAATGTATAATTGAGTTGGAAAGAGTCTATAAGGGCATTGAGTCCAACTCCCTGCTCAAGGCAGGAATCTTGAGTCAAAGCAGATCTTATTTCCTTCCTTATTTTGAGGGACACCATTTTGTTCAATTTTCTCTTGAACGCCTCCAGCGTTGGAGCACTCCCCCACCCCGAGGTCAATGGTTCCACTGTTGTACTGCTCTAACAGTTAGGAAGTTTTTTCTGATATTCAACCGAAATCTGGCTTCCTGTAAGTTGATCCTATTGTTTCACGTCCTGCACTCTGGGGTGATCTAGAGCAGATCTTGTCCCTCCTCTGTATGACCATCTTTCAAGTATTTCAAAAGTGACTATCATATCTCTAGCACAGCTACTCAACTAGGCCCAAAATAAGGAAGGAAATAAGAGGGACCTAAAAATGTTTCCTATACAAGCACATTTCCCTCATTTCCTGTTTCTTCAGCATGTGATTCGGCAGCTACAAGAATCCTGTTGCTTAGAGTAGTAAGTTGCACTGGAGCAGGCCCAGTGGGGATTTGGTGCATCAATTACTCTGTAAGTCCCATTCCTTCATATGCATTTACTCTAATTGTGATTTGCTACACTAAAGTACATCTAAACTAGAGTAGACCCATTTGAATCAATGGAAGTTATACAGGAGTTGACTCAGCAAATCCTCACTATAGGACTACTATAGGTGACTTATTAGACTAAACAATAGGAATTCATCTCATGTCATGGCTGATGATTGTCTCCTTGTTAAAGGCACTGGCAGGATGAGATTATTTTCCTTTTCCTGGCCATGTTTGTGACTGTTCAATCAACATCCTTGTGTAAGATTGGCAAAAATCTCAGAAGGAAACAGTAATGTTTGTTGGAAGTGTAAAAAATTCAGGGACTTACTATCATATGTGGTGGTCATGCGAAAAAGCAAAAAACGTTTTGGATACAAACTTGGGAAATGGCAAAAGGCAGGATGAGATTATTTTCCTTTTCCTGGCCATGTTTGTGACTGTTCAATCAACATCCTTGTGTAAGATTGGCAAAAATCTCAGAAGGAAACAGTAATGTTTGTTGGAAGTGTAAAAAATTCAGGGACTTACTATCATATGTGGTGGTCATGCGAAAAAGCAAAAAACGTTTTGGATACAAACTTGGGAAATGGCAAAAGAAATTGTTCAAACGTGCGAAAAAGTGAAAAAAAATTGGATACAAACTTGGGAAATGGCAAAAGAAATTGTTCAACAAAAATTAAATTTTAACCTGAAATCTTGTTATTGAATATAATGCCAGAAATTATTGACAAGAAAATAAAAAATAGTCTTCTGTATATATTCACAGCAGCTAGGTTACTCTGGGCCCAAAAATGGAAGAATGAAGAGACACCAACGATGGATGAGCTATTAAAGAAGCTACTGGACATTGCAGAACAAGACATGCTTTCAGAGGCAGTACGGGATCAACCAAGAGACTTTGTAAAGCAAAGCTGGAAGCTGATAGATAATTGGGCACAGAAAAAGATAGGAGCTTAGGGGGAAACTTAGTCTATAACGAATTCAGTGTTCACCGAAATCCTCTTGAAGACATTCAAGGTCCAGATGACGGTGAAATCTCTGATCCATAGGGGAAGGAAGGATGTTTAGCTGGTAGTTTTTCTTTTTGTTAATTATATGTGAGATTGTTAATGTTTTTAAGTTCATTTTGTATTGTTAACTATATGTGAGATTGTTAATGTTTTTAAGTTTCATATATTATAATAATAATTAAAAACATGCTTGTGTGAGAAAACTGGGGATGGATTCAGAACAAGCCAACAGAAAATAATTTAATATTTATCCTCTAAATAGGAAACATTGATGTGTTCTTTGGCTGTCAGCAGTAATAATGGAACTTTTCTTTTCATTGAGTCAAGATTCTCAATGCAGATCTCCCTTTTCCACCTCCCTAGACTTACCAAGAGAAAATGTGCACCTTAGTTTGGGCGAGAAAATGTGCACCTTAGTTTGGGTGAAACTTCTAGTTCATTTCAGAGAAATAAAATTTGCACAAAATCACATAAACATTCAAAAAATGTGAACGGCTGGAAACAGGAACAACTAGAAATGATACCGAAACATGTAAAACATGCAAATCGTGAAAAGTGTAAAGATTCGGATAATATGTACCGAACATTTGCACACTAGGAACAACAGACAAAATCCTCTAATGAAATACTATATGTGGAAGGGAAATGGGGCCAGTGCTTTTTTGGGGGGGGGGACTTTGTTGTGGTTGTTGCTATCTCTTGTGCACCTGTTTGCACAAGTGAGTGAGCAGCACAGTGCGTGGTCTGAAAGCAGAACAGCCAGCCAGAAAGATCGGACACACATCAGTTATACACAATTTGTGTTTACTATGCAAACCCAATAGGGTCCCAGCCTCTGTGTATGAAATACGAAGATGATTTCCTTCATATTCTCAGAGACCAGCAACTGGAGCTCTAGAGGAAAGACTTATTTTCTGTGACAGGGCTGGCCCTCCGTTCTTCTTATTTTAGAATTTAAATACTTGCATAGTCAGAAGACCACATCCTACTGCTTGCATTTGTAAGAATTTATTTTATCAACAGCAAACATAGCAAGCCCATTTACACAAGTAACTACTTCTAGAAGTCACACTGAGATTTCTCCACGTTACCCTCACTAAATGCACAGAAGGGGAGAAAGGCGGATGGTTTCTTCTGTAAAAGAGTCACTTCATGGATAATGCGGCCAGCCAGATAACTGTAGAGCCATGGGCAATATCGATGAATAGGTGAAGTAGCTCTTTTGTGGGTGGACAGAACCCTTGGAAAATCATTGTGCCTGATTAACACTTGTGCGTTGGCTCTCTCAGGCTCCAGCTACACAAGGAATATGGATTTTTCGGTACCTCGTCTGCTGAGGTTGATGGAGTCACTGAAAAAGGAGCCCAGGAAGAGATGGGTTTTTCCAACAGAGATGGGAAACCTGGGGTTGGAATTTTGGCGGACCTGTGATCTTAAGAATCCCACAGCAGCATGTTACTGACTATGCTGGTTTAGGACTGAGGGGGTGATAAACATTCCCTTTATTTGTATGTAGAGAAAATGTATTCCTCTAGGTTTTCTCAGGGGAAGGAAAAAGGTAGGAGGTAACAAGGCCCCATGAAGCCCACCCTCTCAATGTGAAGAAGTCAGAGCAAGAAATAATTCAGTTAGAAAACAAATGGCTCTCCCTTTCAGAACCGCATGCCGATTGGAAAAAGCAGAAGAAAAGGATAAGAAAGAAAAGCTTGTAGCATGCCTTGGCAGGTGCATTCAAACAGAAATATTGGGAAGAAAATAAGACAGGCTTCTGGCTTCAGGAGATGGGCGGTGAGTTGCGTTCCTCTCCGCCTACAGGACAGCTTCAAAATGAACAGGCTGGTTATTCTCGCAAGCCACGCGGATCCTTGCATCTTGTTGGGTGCCGACGTACCTGCAGCTATCGGGGGCTGTGCCGCCTACATTTCGGCAGTCGACCATTTTGAAGGACTGAATGCTGTCGTACAAGTTGCTCTTGTAATGGGTCCCTTCATTGACGCACACTTGCTTGACGACAGCCGCCTCTTCGTTGACGAAGGTGTTGCGGGTTTTGCACCGGCTCGGGTTCAGGTTTCTCCGTTTCATCATTAGGTCGCAATAGGTGTTGAGGTTTGGGGCTGAGCTTTCCGGATAATCGATGTGCTTGTTCTGGAAAGACGACCAGTTTTGGCCTTCACAGATGTGGACCAGAAGAACCACCCAAAGGATGGCCAGATGGACCAGTGAGCGGCAGGATATCTTGGAGGGCAGCATGGTGGGGCCTTGGAACCTAGCAGAGAAGGAAGGGAAAAGAATGAAAGGAAAATCTGGGAAATGCTGCCTGCTTCTTAAAGAGAACTTTTCTACTACAGTGATGCCTCACTTAACGATGATAATCAGTTCCAGGAAAATCGCTATTAAGCGAAAACATCGTAAAGCGAAATTAAAAACCCAATTGAAATGCATTGAAAACCGTTCAATGCGTTCCAATGGGGTAAAAACTCACCGTCCAGCGAAGATCCTCCATACGGCGGCCATTTTTGGTGCCTGTATAGCGAGGAATCTGTCTCTAAGTACAGTGGGGAGCCATTTTAAGCACCCGGTAACCATTTTGAAAACCCGACAATCAGCTGTTTTTGATCGTCATAAAGCGAAAATCCGTTCCCGAAGCAGGGAACTGATCATCGTTAAGCGAAATTCCCCTATTTAGACCATCATTTTGCGATTGCGGAAACATCGTCATAAAGCGGATTCGTCGTAATGTGGGGCAATCGTTAGGCGGCACACGACTGTAATTGCAGAGGGGTATAATGTTAGCATTGTTTCAGACTGTGGATGGTTGCCTTGGTTCTTTTGACAGTTGGTTCTAATAGGGTTACTTGTTGGCCGTGTCACTGTTCTCCGACTAGCGGCACTAAGTCACCTCTTAAGTCCCTGATATTTCCATACAGGTATTCCGAATCAATAGCTGGCTGGATAGCTCAGTGGTTTAGATACCTTGCGGTGGAGACAGAGGTTGGGATTCCCCACTGTACCTCCTGCAAGTAGAGCCATCCTGTGTAGCTTTGGGCAAGCTGCACAGTCCCAGGGCGCTCCCCAGAAGAACGAAATGGAAAACCACCTACTTCTGAGTACTCTCCATTTTATTCAATCTGAATTTCAACAGGGTTGGTTTCCTGACACTTCCAAAGAAGTAAAGTTATAAATATTGCCACCCAAATGCTGGTGGGCATCATTCTCTCTCTCCCTCCCTCTCTCTCTAGTAATAGAGTCTTAAAATCTCTTGGCTACTGCCCAACAACACCAGCTGCTTGCACCACTTATGTTGACACAGCTGCTTTCACCCAACAACAGTTCTACCTTAGAGTTTAGGGCTATGGAGCCATAGTTAACTTGGAAAGCCACCTGTCCAGCTTTCCTCAGATCTTATGCCCTCCATGTGTTTCAGAACATACACACCATCATCACTAGCAAGTGACCATGATGGTAAGGGCCAGTAGTCAGGACTATAGCTCCTACCATGTAAACCCTCTTCATGGCATTTGGTTAGATAAAGCTACTCTAGTCATGGTTACGTACGTGTAAAGCACAATTTCTGGACTCCATGTTCTCCTGTTCTGCTGTGTAGAGGGCAACCTTAAATGTGGTCACCTCTTTATGTTTTTCTCTTAATTTCCATATCCCAAGTCTTTAGGTTCCAAAGAAATATTCATATTTTCCTCATTCCACATAAATTGTCTCATTCCTCATTTACTATTAAGAATCATGTGCCATTCAAGTCATTTCTGACTTCTAGGTAGACAGTGCTCAGAAATTGCTTACCGTTTCTGCTTTAAGGAAATGTATGGGTTAATGGCCAAGAGAGACCTTGAATTATTTTGGAGCCTTATCTTTCTTCCCTGTCATCTGTCCCACAAGAATTTGGTCACACGCTTCTGTCCTCAACGAGAGGTTCCTCTGAGGGGAAACCTCCGGAAAAAAAACTATTGCAAAATTAGTTGTCAGTAGGTTAACCAGTCATCTTCCGAGCACTTAACAGAATCCTCCAGAGTCCAGCTTGACTTAGCGTGTGTGTTTCGTTTTAATTTCTTGTCATTTTAATTTGGTACTTTTGTGGCAGCTAGAAGTTCTAAATATATCCCAATAGAAGGACAAACTGCCTGCCTGACTACCAAACCAGCCAGCTTTATAATGTTCTCCCTGAGAAAGGTTTAGGGAGGCAAATTTCTCTGAAGAAATAGGAGTGACTCTATTTCTTCAAAAGTTGTGCTTTGCTATTTGTGAAGAAGCTGTCCTTGAATTCCTGAAATTATACGTCAGCACCTACAGGAAAAGATGGTTCTGCAGTGGATCCGAGTTTAATTCCTCAGTCCTGCAAAGAAGCTTCTCTCCCTCTGGTTGCTATTGGTAAGATTATCACACAGAGTTCCTGCCCAGAGCAGAAGGAAAAGAAAACAACGTTCGGTCTCTCGTCACATATGGAATACAACTGGATAGAGAAAGAAGACACCATTACCTGGCTGAGTAACACAACTATATGTCTCAGAGGCTCTACTGAACACACTTTTACAGTCAAGGGGAGGCAAGAGAGATAAGAGGGAGCATGTAGAGCTATAATACAACAAGCTTTATTGTTTAAAACTATACGACAACACAATATGAATAGCAACACAAATCTACACTGACACCATATAACTATATACGTTCAAGATGGCATAACCTTCTTTCTTAATACTTTGTGGTGCTGGAGGAGGCTCTTGAGAGTCCCCTGGACTGCAAGGAGAACAAACCTATCCATTCTGAAGGAAATCAAGTGCTCACTGGAAGGACAGATCCTGAAGCGGAGGCTCCAATACTTTGGCCTGCTCATGAGAAGAGAAGACTTCCTGGAAAAGACCCTGATGTTGGGAAAGTGTGAAGGCAAGAGCAGAAGGGGACAACAGAGGACGAGATGACTGGACAGTGTCACCAAAGCTACCAACATGAATTTGACCCAACTCCAGGAGGCAGTGGAAGACAGGAGGGCCTGGCATGCTCTGGTCCATGGGGTCACGAAGAGTCAGACTAAACGACGAAGAATATATAATAGAAAGCATCTTCAACCTCTCCTGATCCACATAGTCTTTGATGAAATGAGACATTATCATATCTTACCATCATCATACCTCCAAAATGGCTGATGGCATACCATGAAAACGCAAAGCTGTGAATGCTTTTCTTAAAGGGGCCGAGGTTAGAGAAACAAAATGATTCTTCAAACCAAATGGTGTTTTGTACAGGGGGAACCAACAGGAGGACATTTGTGCAACAGCACACAAATCTAGCCACTTAGAGTGAAGGCTGATTTTTTTTCTTTTACCAGATGCTTAGCTCCGCCAGAGGAGAATGTGGGCAAGGACTCTGTGCCAATTCCATAGTTCTGTAAAATGGGTCGAACTGAATCTACGCAGGACTTTCAAGAAGGACTATGAGGTTGTTCTTTGTAGGGAGAATATAGGTGTGAAGAAAATCTGACTAGAGGATGTGCATTAAATCTATCTGCTGACATATTTAAAAACTGGGTTTTATTAAGGCATCAGAGCAATCAAGTAGGGGTGACTCAAGGATCAGAAAAGGGGGATGTCCCACTATCCTATCACAAGCCATTTGTGAAACCAAGCTACCATTTTTCTTCTTCCTGGCAAGCCTACATTAAAGTTGACGGCTAGAATAAAGATGATGGACAGAAGCCACCAAAGTGAATGCAGACTGGAATAATTTTACACTCACCTACTCAACCGCAAAAAAGATGAGGTTTTCTTCAGTGGGAATGGCAACGGCTGGAAGAGGGAAATGTTTTCTCCAGTTTCCTCTGGTAAGGCTGGGTACTGGAGCTGTCCTTTATACTCTGCACTCAGATACGTCCCACTCTGGAGCTGAAAGTCTGTAGGTAAACAGTGAGGTTTCCTTAACTTTCAATCTCACCCAAGGACTCCCTGTCGATTTATCTTTTTTTTCCATGCACTGCAGCTGTTGGAAATATCTGAGAGAGCTGTTTTGTAGTTAAAAGAGAACAAGCAGCAGGCAAAAAGGCTGCAAACGAAGGCTTATGCAGTTACTCAGGAAGTATGTGGGTTCTGCATGCAATGGGTTAGCTCAGTTCCCTTGGTTGCGCTGAAGAGGGAGATGCAGCTGTCTTGAAGAGGCCTTAGTTTTCTGTCCAGGCAGCCTCTCCAGATGCGCCATAAACCCATTTCTGGGCCAGTGGTTTCCTCATGTTCAACAGGATAACGTGGGTGGGTGGGTCCTAAGGAACTCTCCTACATCAGGGCAGCTTCCACAGACTTCATTAATGTCTGAACGAGTCTAAATTTTAATCCAAATGTGATCCAGTAGAGCAGTGTGTGGAGAGTGTGTTCCAGAGCATAGGTCCACTGTTCTCCACACTTACTCATTTTGAGTTCCAACAAAGGTACAGTATGTTCCCTCCCTTCCAATCTGCTTTCTGAAATTCTTTCGTGTTTATGTAGCCTCCACAGTAATCATAAGAAAAACAATACTTATAAGTATAAAAATGGCCTGTATAATTTTGGCAACGTTTCCCAAGGTTTTCTAGATATAGAACGCTCAGAGATGGTTCCCCATTCTCTCCTTCTGTAATACAGACTAGTGGAGGAAAAGGGAAGAATATTCAAGCACTTATTTATTTATTTATTTATTTTATTTACAAGATCTTTCTAGCCATGCCATTACCAATGGTCTCTGAGTGGCATACAAAAATATTAAAACTTTAAAAACATTAAAACCATTAAAGCCATTAAAATATGCAATATTATAATAATGCCCTATATTTAAAAAGTCATTAAAAGATTAATATTAATAAATCCTGCTACTCATATGGCCAGCTAAAGGATACTACTGTATTTAATTAAAATGTTGGCTAAACAGAAAGGTCTTTGCCTGGTGTAAATTTTTCAGAACCGGTGTGATATGAGTCTGTGTGGCAGCACCACTGTGTGCCAGTTGCAGTCGATGGACTGTCTTCAAGGGCTGCCCCACGTATCGTGCTTCACAGTAGTCCAGTCTTGTTGATACCAGTGTATGTGTGACTGTTGCCAGGCTCCACTCACACAGAATATTAGGGCTGAAGAAGACGAACTGGTCTGTTTTCAGTGGAACTGAATCTCAGTGGTTTTTGTAAGAGAAAATGACACACTCAGCTGTGTAGATCGCCCGCCCTCTAAATGAACCTGACCTTGACAATAAGAGTCATGAAAGTCTTGAGTGAGATGGTTAGTCTTCATCTCTACATCTTCAGTTCCACAGAGAAAGCTTCCTGTTAAAGGACAATCACTGAAGTGGCCAACGACAGGTATGTTTGGCCCCAGGTTCCCTTTTTAAAACTTCTCATGGAAGATGTCCCTCAGTGTTGTGGGTTAGGAAGGGTAAAGTCTAAACGAGATGAAGCAGAATAATTTTGCTGCTTAACGTCAAGGAGGAAATAACAACAAAAAAAGGGAAGTCTGTTTTGATGTAGCAGCAGGAGCAGGAGAAGAGCCCCTGCTGAAGAGATCTAATCCTGGATCCTTTTCCTGCATGGCCTTCTAAAGTATGGTGGACTCACTGTGGACTTAAGAGGTGGACACAGAGCGAATGGGTTGCCTGTGTGCGCATGCGCAGGGACCGAGACCCGAAATGGGAATGCAGACTGTACGTTGATGAGTCTAACATGGAGTGAGATGGTTAAGGAAGTGTCAACTATAAACACAGATGGACACTGACTGTAGTGTGCTTTCCGAATCTAAGTAAGATTAGGAAAGACTACCCTAATCTAAGTAAGACTTATTTTATATAAAGGAGGTCTCATGGAAACGAACCAGTTGCCTCAAAGGCCTTGTCATGAAGGAATGAAGGAATGTTCTATGAGACAGATAGAAGGCCCTATCTTCTTCTTCTCATCTGCTGGCAGCGAATAGGAATGCCCTGGATGTGGTCCAATTCCATGAATCAGTCCTGTGCCAAGGATGGGCATGGACCAAAGGCATCTTTCCAAGGCCTTCTTGTGCCCTCCAGCCCCTATGGAGTCCCCAGGGCCTGGGAACCATTTTTCCTCAGCTAGGTTAGCCAATTAATGAAAGAATCATAGAATAATAAGGATGGGAGGGGCCTGTAAGACCACTGAGGTCAACTCCTGGCTCAATGCAGGAATTCAAATCAAAGCAGGTCTGACAGATGGCTGACCCATTTCCTTCAAAGTGCCTCCAACGCTAGAAGACAGAGTATGTTCCAAAGTGATTGGTTCCATTGTCATAATGCTCCCAATCGTAGGACGTTTCACCTACTATTCAGCCAAAATCTGGCTTCCTGTTAGCTGAGCCTATTATTACGTGTCCAGCACTCTGCAATGATCGAGAACACATCCTGCCCTTCCTCGGAATGGCAGGCTATCAAGTTTTTAAAGATATTCAGCGATTTTTTTCTCATGGCCAAACAGGCCCAGTTCTTCCCGCCTTTACTCACAGGGCTTGATTTCCAACCCCTCTGATCATCCTGGTTCCCTCCTCTGAACCTGACCCCGTTTTTCTCCATCTTTCTTTAATTGTAATGTCCAAAATTGGACATAATATTCCAGATGAGGCCTAACCAGTGCCAAATAGAGTGGAACTAATACTTTATGCGACTTGCAGACTATACTTCTCTTAATGGAGCCTAAAATAGCACTTGCCTTTTTTGCAGCCACATTGCACTGATGGCTCATATCCAGCTTGTGATTTAGAACACTTATCTGGGTTAAATTTCAATTTTTTTGTTTTGATCCCAGTGCTTGAAGCGATCAAGATGGTATTGAACTTTGTTTTTGTCATCCAGAGTATTAGCTCTTCCACCCAATTCTGCTAATGTGATAAACATTCCCTACACTAATTCATCCGAATCATTAATTAAATTTGTTGAAGAGCACCGGGCCCAGGAAGGAGTCCCACTTTTTACCTCCCCCTATGTTGAGAAGCAGCCATTGATAAGCACTACCTGAGTATGATTCTGTCACCAACTGTTTATCCTCCTGACACTTGTGCTACATAGCCCACATATACTTAGCTTAGTCATCAGAATACCAAGGGGGAATTTGTCAAAAGCTTTGCAGAAGTCAAGATATATTAGGTCTAAAACATTCCCACCATCTACCATGGGTGCTATGTGTTGTGTGTCCTCAAGTCAGAATTGACTTATCCTGATTCTAAAGGGGGCTTTCAAAGTAAGTGAGATGTTTAAGGGATGGTTTGATCAGGTCCACTCCCCCAGTCAGTTGTTCATCCCTCAGCAGGAATTCAAACCCTCTTCTCCAAAGTCCTGGTTTGTCACTCTGTCCACTACACCACCCTGGGAATCTCATACCATGCAAGTAACCTGATTAAAAATGAGGCAGATTGATCTGGCAGTATTTGTTCCTGAAAAATCTCTGTCGGCTTCTAGTTATTACTGCCTTGTTTCCAGGTGCTTGCAGAGGGATCGCTTTATAATTTGCTCTAGAGCTTTCCCTGGGATTGATGTCAGGCTGTCTGGTCTGTAGTTCCCAAGTTCCTTCTTTTTGCCTTTCTGGAAGTTTGGGATGATGTAACCCCTCTTCCATTCATTCGGCAGTTCACCCAGAGAAGATAAAGACAAAGAGGCAAAAAAGGGCGTGCTCAACATTTTTATTATGACATAAGAAAGGGGAAGCAAACTGAAACGGAGAAGTCCCAAAGATTCTTTTAAAATTGACAGAATTTAGAAAGCCAGAGCTATTTCTCCTCCACAGAACCCCAAATGTATAATCTAAAAAACATAATTACACCATTCACCCACTCTGAAGGTTTGCCCTTCAGAAATCTTCATGATTTTTAAAATCAGGAGAAAACGGGAATATGGAAGTCATGCCTTGCAGAAACACAAGTTAAGAGGAAAGGGGAAGAACCAGGGAAACAGAGACGGGCCTCTGACTTCTCACGAGCCAAAAGAGAGAGGCAGTTGCATCTCCCTAGGGTAAGAGACCTTTAAAGTCGATTGGGTCCCCTCTAGAGAACAAGTTGCTACAAGCCACACGTAAGTATTTCAACATTTTTGTACCGCGGTACACGCATCCATATTCTGCTGTGCCATCCATGAACTTGCAGTTGATCACAGGGAAAGGGATTTTGCTGTCGAAAAGGTTTAATTCAAAATAGGTTGAATGCGTAGAGCACACTTGCCGGACAGCCACTGGGCGAGCGATGATGAAGGCATTTTCATTTTTGCATACGTATCGAGCCATGCCTCTTTCTCTCATCATCCGGTCACAGTAGGCGTTGAGACTTTCTGTTTGTCCTGGTAGGGGACCGATATGCTCATGTTGAAAAGTTGCCCAGTTCTGTGCTTCACAGGAATGTAGCAGGAGAAGGATGGCCAGATGGAGGCGCAGGATGCAGGAGGCCTTGGAGGTCTGCATGATGGTCTCCTGGAATCAACAAAAAACAGGGAGGAGAAAGAGGGAGGGAAAAATAAACAGAAATGTAAATACAATGCCTAAGTAAATGCGATGCTAATGGATGAGGTTTTTATGGAATTGTATTCATAGACCCTTTCAATATTGAATACACATTGTTACTAACTTCAATACCATCTTTTAACTGTTGTAAGTTGCTTTCAGTCCTTTTTAAAAGAGAACAGGAGGTTCAAACGAGCCTTGGAGACTCGGCTCTTCCTCCAGGCTTTCTTTGAGCCTTAGGTTTTCGAGAATCCGGCCCCCCTTTGACAACCCTTTTGCCATCCTTCCCATCATCCTTTATACCACCTTCGTTGTCATCTGTTTTAATTTATCCTGCTGGTTATTATATTTGTTCAATGTATGCATTATTTTATTTTTTTAATCTGGATTGATATTGTGCTGTTTATCTTGGTGTTAGCTGCCCAGACTGGCCTGATTGCCAGTTGATATGGGGTATAAATCAAATGAATAAACCAACCAACCAACCAACCAACCAACCAACCAACCAACCAACCAACCAACCAACCAACCAACCAACCAACCAACCACCCACCCAGCCACCCAACCAGCCAGCCCGCACGCCAC